CCTCCTCACAGGCCTCCTCACAGCCTCCTCACAGCCTCCTCACAGCCTCCTCACAGCCTCCTCACAGCCTCCTCACAGCCTCCTCACAGGCCTCCTCACAGCCTCCTCACAGCCTCCTCACAGCCTCCTCACAGCCTCCTCACAGCCTCCTCACAGCCTCCTCACAGCCTCCTCACAGCCTCCTCACAGCCTCCTCACAGCCTCCTCACAGCCTCCTCACAGCCTCCTCACAGCCTCCTCACAGCCTCCTCACAGCCTCCTCACAGCCTCCTCACAGCCTCCTCACCGCCTCCTCACAGCCTCCTCACAGCCTCCTCACAGCCTCCTCACAGCCTCCTCACAGCCTCCTCACAGCCTCCTCACAGCCTCCTCACAGCCTCCTCACAGCCTCCTCACAGCCTCCTCACAGCCTCCTCACAGCCTCCTCACAGCCTCCTCACAGCCTCCTCACAGCCTCCTCACAGCCTCCTCACAGCCTCCTCACAGCCGTGCTGCTTCTCCTCGCTGCATGTGTGTCGCACTCTTGCACGTCACTGCACTCACTCACTCACCCACTCACTCAAAACTCATTCACGCACTCTCACTTCACCCTCTCTCCCCGTCCGCGCAGTACGTGCGCCGCCACTCGCGCGCGTCGCTGCGCGTGCTGGGCTCTGTGGGCGAGCCCATCAACCCCAAGGCGTGGCGCTGGTACTTCGAGGTCGTGGGCGGCGGCCGCTGCCCCATCAGCGACACCTGGTGGCAGACGGAAACCGGCGGCATCTGCATCACGCCTCTCCCCGGCGCATGGCCGTTAAAGCCCGGCTCCGCGTCTCTCCCGTTCTTCGGAATCGAGCCGGTGATTCTAGACCAGCAGGGGAAGGAGCAGGAAGGGCCGTGCGAGGGGTACCTGTGTCTGCGCCGCCCGTGGCCGGGAATGGCGCGGACGCTCTTCGGCGACCACGCGCGCTTCGAGGCGACGTACTTCAGCGTGTGGAAGGGGTACTACACCACCGGCGACGGCGCGCGGCGCGACCGCGACGGGTACATCTGGCTGACGGGGCGCGTGGATGACGTGATCAACGTGAGCGGGCACCGCATCAGCACGGAGGAGGTGGAATCGGCGCTGGACGCGCACCCCGCGTGCGCGGAGGCGGCGGTGGTGGGGTACGACCACGAGGTGAAGGGGCAGGGCGTGTACGCGTTCGTGACGCTCATGGACGGCATCTCGCCGAGCGAGTCGCTGCGCAAGGCGCTCAAGGACACCGTGCGCAACGAGGTATGTGTGTGTGTGTGTGTGTCTGTCTGTCTGTCTGTCTGTCTGTCTGTCTGTCTGTCTGTCTGTCTGTCTGTCTGTCTGTCTGTCTGTCTGTCTGTCTGCGCATGTGCTTGCGCTTGCGCATTCTGCTGGTGCAAGCTGTTGAATGCATCACAGCACACCATGGCACAACACCACTGGCACTAAACCCTCCCTTCCCGTATCCCTTTGTGGCGTGGCGGCGTGTGCAGATCGGGTCGTTTGCGGCGCCGGACGTGATTCACTGGGCGCCGGGGCTGCCCAAGACGCGCAGCGGCAAGATCATGCGCCGCATCCTCAGGAAGATCGCCGCCAACAAGCTCGACGAGCTCGTGAGTCACGGGGTCATAGGGGGTGAGATGGGTTGAGAAGGGGTGAGAGGGGGTGGTTAGGGGTACGGTGGAAGGGTGGAGTAATGCTGTGGGGAGAGGAGAGGAGGGGGAGGTGGTGGCGGTTAGTAGGGGAAGGGATGGTACTCAAGACATGAGAGCTGGGTCACTGCCGTTGATGCAGTCGTTTGGCCATGGGGTGGGGGATGACCTGTACCAACTCTGCCTTCCACTTCTGTTCCACACCACCTCTTTGTCATTTTCCACTGACAAACATCTGCAACTGCAATTTAATCTATTGTTTTTCCTTCTTGTATCAGGGTGACACATCATCTCTCTCCAATCCTACCATTGTGGACGAGCTGGTGTCTCTGAGGGGAAAGTGAGGGGCAAATGAGTTAAGCTTGGTGGTTTGAAATGGGCTGTGCTATCGGCATGCTGCTGCAGGCATGGTGAAATCTGCTGCTGCAACACCTCTTGTAATTACAAATGTTGAGCAGGAAGTGGGAGGTTTTGCTTGAAATAAGGCTAGCGTTGAAGTCTAGTTGGGTGGGGATAACGACTGGACTTAACTGTTCCTGTGTAAATGCTTTCCATGTGCTTTTTCTGTTTAAATGATGAGTTATATTTCGAAACGCGTATATCGTCCGCCATTTCATTATTTTCCTTCACTCTTTCGTAAGAGTGCTTGTACCGAAGTTTCTTCCTTAGCCAGCGCATTTCACACATGTTCCACGGCACGTCTTCCGGTTTTACTGCTGAAAGATGTAGTACAATTGGTGTAAAATGTGTCTCTACGATATTGTCCAATGTTCGTGGGTTCAATGACTTGTCAAGTACCTCCTCCATCGTGGCACGGAGACCTTGTAATCTGATTATCCAATGGCGTTGCTTTCTAGAAAATCACGATTCTCGTTGTGCTTCCTCTCACCCACAGCCATGGAGCTGAAAAAATCCAGTCTACTATATATGTGGTTGTAGCGTTCATCAGTGAACACAAATCTGCCCGTTGTAATTGAACAGTGTTCCACATTTTGCAAATCAGGCACGTGCCGAATTGCCTTTTACGGCACTCGTACACCACCACCACATTTCGCACACCGTTATCATTTTCTTTTGTGTGGTGGAGGCAAACTGCCCGTCATCCGCATGCATGTGACCGGATCAGGCTCATGATGCACCGCACCGCAGGTGAACCTATCTGCCTTCAACATTTAACCCTGCCCCTCCAAGTGACTTTTGTGAATACCCATGAGATTGCATCTGCTGGGAGAGGAATATTGCCAATGAATTCTATTTATTCCTTGTCGAAGCAACCATTCTGCCCTGAGGGTTTTTTGTAGTGCAATTCGACATAGACGAGATCCCTTGAACCCCGTGACCGCGACCCGTCCGTCCCGTCTCTCATTTCCCCACCCCACAGTGCAAACTCTGATTTTCGTGTGGCTGTGAGCTGGCTTCGAAGGGTGGTTGAGCTCAGCAGCTAGCCTACTGACGCCGCCAACGCGTGGCTCCGCTCCGCTCAATCCGTCATTCGAGTCGAGACTCGAGAGTGTCACTGTCAAGGGCAGCGCCAGGCAAATCTGGCGAGAAAAGGGGAAAAAAAGTGAACTGCTCCCTCCGCCACTCCCTTGCAGATGGCCTCCGCGCCTGTGTTCCAGCAATGCATTTTCCGCCAACTCCACACGGTTCTCCCCCAACTTTCCCCCAAATTCCCCTTTTTCCGCCACCCTTTCCCCCACTTTCCCAGCCCCGCAGACCCCAGCGGCCCACGTTCATCCCACCCACCCAACCGCTCCAGATACAAAGCCCCCCTCGCTCATTCAATTCCTCAGTCACTTGCAGCTCATTCACTTCTCTTTAGCGTTTATCAGAGCGGCAACAGGCTCATCTCAAGCTTGGGCTCGGCCCGTCACCAGCGCAGGCGCGAAGGCACAGACAGAAGTCATGGCTACCGCTGTCTCCTCTGCCTTGCTTTCCGGCTCCGCAGCGGTCCTCGACCGCCGGGGAGCTAGCGTTGCGAGGGCTTCCTCGCTTCGCCCCGCCACTTCGTCGGCTGCTGCTGGTTCCGCCGTTTCCCTGCTTCCCTCGTCATCACGTCGGTCAAGAAGCCTCAACCGTCTGGCTGCGCGCGCGTCGGCTTCGGACTCATCATCTGCAAGCGGTCCGCTCGTCACCGACAGGAGCCATGGCGTGCTCTCCGGCGAGTGGGACAAGAGCGTGTCGCTCCTCACGTACGAAGATCTGTCGCATCACCTCCAGAACGTTCTCATCCGCGGATTGGTCGAGGACTCCGAGGCGGCTTCCGCCGAGCCGGTTCCTCTGACGGCCACTAGAAGACACGGCATCGTGTCCGGCGAGTGGGACAAGAGCGTGTCGATGCTTCACTACGAAGACCTCTCGACTTACTTCGAGGCGACGCTCGTGCAGGGTCTGCAGGAAGACGCGGAGACGAATTTCGTGCCGCTCGAGGCGGACCGGTCGCACGGCGTCGTGTCGGGCGAGTGGGACAAGAGCATTTCGATTCTCAGCTACGAGGACCTTTCACAGCACCTTCTTGAGAGCTTCCCCGCGGGCTCCGCGGCTCCCGCGCCGGAGCAGGTGGTGCCGCTGATGGCGGATAAGAGCCATGGCGTTCTGTCGGGCGAGTGGGACACGGGCGTGACGTACCAGAGCTACGAGGATGTGAAGTTCCATATCCAGTCGAAGATGGCGAAGGAGCGCCGTGCGAATTAGTTGGTTCGTCTTAAATTAACTACCATAATCTAGTCGCAAGTTTGCGATGCTCTCGTCCAATCAGCCGATAATTCTGCCGCCTGCTCCGGCAGGACCTAGTCTGTTCACGCGTGTAAATGTCAATAGAGGTGGGTGGGAATTTGATGCGGTGTATAACACGCGTCCGCTCTGTATCTGGCTTGCATGGAGTACCGTACCTTTTTGCCACAAATCTAATATCTAGTCCAGAAGAAAAACCGCACTCAGTGTGACGTGAATTGGGGCGTGTATACCGTAATTGGGATGAGGGGAAAAAACAATGGAAATGAGTTTTCATTGTACGGTACCCGAGTTGGCAATCTTGGTTTGGGAGAACTGGGTAGGTGCTTTCAGAATGACTCAACTACCACATCTCTGGCTTCAAGCTCTAATGTCATGTAGATAAGATACCATACCCAGTGTACTGAAGCCATGTGGGAATTGTACGGTATCATCAAACCAATGCAACTCTTGTGGATCTACATGGTATCGGGTCACTGTTTCAGCCCATGGCTACCTAGCTACCATACCATATTTCCTGCCTGCCCAGTGCACGAACCTCAAAACACTCAGGATTTGTTTATGCACAAAACACAACTTGAATGTTTCTGCAGTGTACACTCCACCCACGGCACATGATGCTACCCAGCTGGAGCAGGCTGGAGAGTGTACTGATGGTGCAGGGAGATCCTATTGCGCACCTCCTCTCTCTCCCTGTTCACCAGAGCCACCTGCCTGTGGGAGGCCGTGTGTGGTGCTGTCTGTGCTGTGTGGGGTGGCATGTGTGGCCCACGTGCTGTGCCCGGACGTTGTTGTTGTTGCTGCTGACTGTGATCCTGCTCTTGCAGCTCATACTGCTGCTGCTGCAGGTGGTTTTGCTGGGCTTCAGTGAGGAGCTGAAGCAGCTCCCGTGCCTGCCAGCACAGTCAAGCAATGGATACATGTGAGGATTAGAAGAGCAGTGGATGGGAATGCATGCTAGCCGTGTGCTGAATTGTAAAAAGGAACGGACACTGTGTTACCGTAAGTGCATGTTTGTGTGTGCGCGCGCACGCACGCACGCGTGGATGTACACGGATGGATCATGCATGTGCGTATGTTGCATGTGCGTACGCAGAAACTCATGCTCCTGCTCACCTTCCTCCTGCCTCGTTCAGTCTGCCCCCTCCCCTCCACCATCCTCCCCAGCAAAGTTTCCACCCTCAACCCCACCACCTCTTCCCTCCACGACTCCCTCCCTTCCGCCGCCACCAGCAGCAGCGTCGTCACTGCCGCCTCCCTCCCAAGGCTCGACCCCTCCTCAAGAACCCTCCGCATTCCAGCAATCCCTCCAGCATTCACAATCGCCTGTCGGCCTTCCCCTGCTGCTGCCAGAGACGCCAACAGAACTGCACAGTCCTCCACCAAGGTTCCCCGCGCGTCGTCCCTCTCGCAAACGGTGCTCACTATATGGGGTACGATTCCCGTCGCCACAATCAGCAGCTTGTTCGGGCGGTAAATGGAAAGGTAATAGAGCGCTCGCAGCGCGATGATATGCGCAGGGAGGGAGGAGGGGGAGGGAGGAGGCGAGGGCTGCAGGTGGAAGGAGAAAGAAGTGGAAGCGGAGGAGTGAGAAGAGGAGGCGGAGGAGGAGGGCGGGCAGGTGAATATGAACACAGTGGCAAGAGACGGAATGGCTCCGAGCCTTGCAATCTCTTTCTTCATATCGTTGTTCTTGGCCAGGCTGAACAGCACTGCTGCTGCATGCTCCTGGATGGTTCGGCTGGCTGACTCACTGAATGTCACATGGGCCGACGCTGCTGCCTCTGCTATGGGCCTACTCCTGGATGGTGCGTTGCTGTTGCTGTTGCTGCTGCTGCTGTTGCTGTTGCTGTTGCTTGCTCTGCGCTGGCTGCTCCTGTTGCCCGTCGTGGTGGTGCTGTTGTTAATGTTGCTGCAGTCCCATCCCCCCCCTTCCCCACTCCCACCCACATTCCCCTCCCTCCCCCCACCACTACCCACACTCCCCCCGCCACCCCCCGCGTGCCACACCATACACGCACACGCATGCTCCAACAGCTCCACAACAGGACAAACGGCGCCGGCCGCCTGCAGCAGCCTCTGATTCACATCCAGGATGGAAACATTCCGAAGCGCAGCAATGGAGCTCTCGACCAGGTCCGGGAGCTGCCGAGCCTGCGTGAGAGCTAGGAGCGGCGGGATCCCTCCAGCTACGGTTATGTATTCCCGCCAGCGCGTGCTGCGGCGGGAGAGGTGCCTCAGCAGCTCGCATGCTGCTAATATGCCCACTGGGTCGGCCTTGACCATTTCCTCTTTTAATAGTTCCACTGGGTTCATGTTCATGCCTCCGCCGCCGCCGCCACTGCTGCTGCTGCCCATGCTGGCGGCAGGAGCGGCAGCAGGAGTGGCAGTGGGGGCGGCAGCAGGAGTGGCAGTGGGGGTGGCAGCAGTAGTGGCAGCAGCAGTGGCGGTGGTGAGAGCAGCAGTGGTGGTTTCTGTGGCGGACGCAATGGCAGGAGAAGAAGAAACAGCAGGAGGGGCAGGAGGAGCAGCAGGAGGAGGGGCAGGAAGAGCGGCAGGAGGAGGGGCAGGAACAGCAGCAGAAGCGGTGATGGTGGCAGTGATCCTGGGTGTGGTGGTCGCAGCACTGTTGCCTTGAGCGCTTGCAGCAGCAGCAGCTGACGCAGCACTGGGGTTAAGCACGCTGCTTCCGGCAATGCCAGAGCCCGCAGCAACATCGGCAGCAGCAGCAGCAGCAGCAGCAGCGGGAGGAGAGTATGAATCAGGAGCATCAGCAGCACCAGCTGCAGCATCAGCAACAGCAGCAGAAGGCCTGGAGTGTCTTTTACCCGTGGCAGCAGATGCAGAGGACAGAAAGGCTCCTACCCTGACCCTGCACCCTGACCGTACACCCGACCCTGACTCCGAACCAGATCCGTCACTCCCGTCCGAACCTGAACCACACGCCCATTTACCCGACCTCCCAGAACCCTCTCCACCCTCTCCTCTCCTCCGTCCCCCTCTCTTCCCCACACATCCCTTGTCCTCCTCCAAACCATCACTACTTGTGTCACGCTCAACCACCTGCCTGGCAACCACACCCATACCGTGGCTCCTGCCTTCCCTTTCACTCTGCTCTGGCGCTGCCCGCATTTTTGCTTCGTCCTCAGCTACCCTCTTTCCCATGTGCCGTCCAACAGACGTCTGCCGCTGCAAAGCACGAGGCACCTCAGAAGGGATCATGTGAGGCGCCTCAAGAGCCCCCACCGTCTCACCCAGCTCCTGACCCTTTGCCTCTTGTCGTCTGATGGACGTCTGCTGCTGCAAGCCCCCCTGTTGCGCCCACTGCCCTTCCCCTGCCGCACTGGCAGCAGGAGCAGCAGCATCAGCAGTGGCAGACGACGCCTTTTCCTCCTTCCTGGCCCTCCCCCCACTGCCTTTGCCCCATCGAAGCCCTGACACTGGTGATTCGGCAACAGCAAGAGCTTCAGATGCTGCTTTGGAAGCATCTTGGACCACTGGTGGGCAAGAAAGGGAAACCTGGGATGCAGCAGGCTTACCAGCACTGAGGGACGGAGCAGGCGTGACCATTGGTGGGTTGGAGGGAAGAACAGACGGGCGGGCTGATCGCCTGGTAAGAGAGGGAGGGGATTGGGAGGCGGTTCGTGGGGTGGGGACGGGTGGGGGCCGGCTAGGGGACCATTTCGGCGTTATTGGTGGTGCTGATGATGATAATACAGCTGATGACCTAGCTGGGGATGAGGTTGATGATGGGGATGGGGGGGATGCGGTCTGTGAAATGGCTAGTGTTGCGGTTTGAGGGTGTGAGGAGGATAGTGGGGTGCTGAGAAGAGGTGGTGGTGGCAGGGGGAAGAGTCCGGTTGAGGTAGAGGAGGTGGTGCTGTGGCTAATAGGCGGAGGCTGGATCGAAGAAGCAGGTGCTGCTGCTGATGGTGATGGTGATGGTGATGGTGATGGTGATGGTGATGATGATGGTGATGGTGATGGTGATGATGGTGCAGATGAGTGGTGGTGACGAGGCGGACCGGTGGTGGCAGCAGGAGGAAGCGGACGAGGAGGGAGAAGAGCAAAGGAGGGGAGGTTGGAAGGGAGAGAGGACGTGGGGCGCAGGAGGGCGATTCTGACTGGTTTGGACTTAGAGGCTTGGGGTTTGGAGGAACGGATCAGGGAGAGAGCAAGAGGGTGGGGAGGCGAGGGAGCCGGAGAGTGGGCAGGAGAAGGAGCAGGAGAGGAGGAGGGGGAGCGAGATGTGGATATGCGAGTGCTTGGGTTTGCAGGTCGTTGGTAAGGCCTGAATCGTCTCAGGATGGGTTGAGAGTCTGGGCTGCTGCTGCAGCTGCTGCTGCTGATGGTGCTGACGCTGGTGATGCTCTGACTGTCCTCATAATCAGCAGCAGCAGCAGCAGCGGCGGCGGCGGCGGCGGCGGCGGCGGCAGCAGAAGCAGCGGCACGACCCAAAATATTATCAGCATCAGCATCAGCATCAGCATCAGCATCAGCATCAGCATCACCATCACCATCAAGGCGAAACGCAGAGCCTCTGCTACCTCCAATCCTCCTGCTGCGCATCTCCTCATCCCCACCATCTCCCACCTCCACCACCCCATCTCCCACCTCCACCACCCCATCTCCCATCTCCACCACTCTATCTCCCATCGGCTGTGGTAGAGATGTATCAGCAGCATGAGCATCAGCAGCAGCAGCTGCGGCAGCAGCGGCAGCAGGTGGCGTTGATGGCAGGTGCAGGTTACCTATGTTGGCTATAGACAAACATATCGCCGCCACTGCTGCGGTTGCTGCTTCCGGTGAAGGAGAAGCATCGAGCTGGGCAGCAGAAGCACCATCCGCGTTAAGAACGTCCCCTCCAGTAGGCATTCCAATACTGAAACGATTGCTTTCACCACCGCTACTTACACTCCTGCCACCACCACTGCCACCGCCACTGCCACCACCACTGGCTCCACCACTGCCATTGCCACTAACTGTACTGACATCACAATGTAAAGAGCTTTCACTCCCCTCCTCTTCCGCCTCCACCGTCCCTCCTCTCTTTCTCACTTCCTCTCTCACCTCCACACTTCCCCCACTCCTACTGCTTATACTTTTCCCTCCCCCAATCTCACTCCTCCCTGTTCTCCCTCCTTTCGCAACCAGCACTCCACCCACACCACCAGCACCAGCAACAGCACTAGCATCAGCAGCACCACCACCAGCACCACAAGCACGACCACCAGAAGCAGCAGCAGAGCAAGCCGCTGCGTGCCACTCGTCCCCGTCCCTCCCAGATCCGCTCCCCCATCTGATCCCCGCCACTCGCACCACACGCACCCCCAACCCCCCCATGCTCCCCCGCTCCTCCAAGGAATGCCCCCGTTGCAGCACCCGCGCCTGCTGCTGCTGCTGCTGCTGCTGCTGCTGCCTCCCGGGGGGAAGAGGCAGCACATACCTGCCTCCTGCCCGCCCCCACTCGGAATCTTGAGGCGCCGCCTCAGAAGTGTTTCTGGGGGGGAGAGGCAGCAGGTACCTGCTTCTGGTCCGCCCCCACTCTGATTTTGATAGCCCTGTCTGCTCTGCTTGCCCTGCTTGCGCTGATTGCACTGATACTCCTCCCACTCCCCGTCCTCCTCCTTTTCCTGCTTCCCTACTAGGATCACTCGCATCAGCATCAGCATCAGCATCAGCATCAGCATCAGCATCAGCATCACCATCACCGACACCAACCCTATTCACTCCACTCCCATCGTCCCCTTGTGCGGCTTCTCGCTCCTCTCTTCCCATCATGCGCAGGGCAGCACCCACATCTCTCGTCCCTCTCCTTCCATCCACTCGCTCCTCCCCACTCGCCTTCTCACCCCCACCCTCACTACCACTGTCACTCCCAATACCACTACCACTGCAACTGCCACTGGTGCTGCCAACGCCACTCCCGCTCCCGCTCCCAGAACCACTACCATCACCATCGCTGCCCTTGCGCCCAGCACTGCCTCTATCATGCTTCAAAACTTCTTGCCCAGACCCCGTTCCACCCCACACCTGTAGCCCTTCCCTGCCCTCCCTCCCTCCTATCCCATCCCCTTTTTCCCCTCCTTTCACCTCTTCCCTCCTTTCCCATCCTTCCGAACCCCCCCATCCTGCCACCCCTCCAACCTCTCTTAACCTCTCATACCACTCTCCCTCCGAAACACACCTGCTCAGACCCCCCACCCTTCCCTCCCATCCTCTCCGCTCTCCTCTCCCCTCCCACCCCCTCTCCTCCCCCCCCACACTCCCCCCTTCACTCTCCCCCACACCCCCGCTTTCACTCCCCTCCACACCCTCGCCTTCTCTCTCCCCCACTCCCTCTTCCCCCACCAGCACCTGTTCCAGATGCTGCTGCCGCTGACTGGCAGTCCTGACTAGGAGATCCATAATACAGGAAGACACCACCACTCTGTGTACCACCTCGCCTTGCCCCATCACACCCACACCTTTCGCACCAGCAGCACCACCAGCAGCAGTAGTAGCAGGAGGAGCAGCAGCAGACAAGCCAGAATTCGGTGGGGTGGTGGCGGTGGCACTGTCAGCACCAGTAGGAGCAACAACCGTCGAAGCAGGGACAGAAGAAGCAGTGAGAGTGGCGAGAGCGGGGTTGGGATGGCAGCTCATGTTGCTTCCCTCCGACTCGGTCCAGAAGCTTCCACTCTCCTCGCTCACAAACTCACTGTTGCTCGCATCCTCATCCTCATCTTCCTCCTCCTCCTCCTCCTCCTCGTCCTCATCCCCTTGCTCTTCCTCCTCCTCCTCTTCCCCTTCCCCCTCCTCATCCTCTTCCTCTTCCTCCTCGTCCTCGTCCTCTTCCTCTTCATCCCCGTCCTCCTCCCCGTCCTCCACTTCCATTTCCCCATCATCCTCCTCATCATCCTCGTTTGTGTCCTCCTCGTGTGTCTCCTCGTCCCCAAGCATCACTGTATGAGTTGACTTTTGAGTTGACTCAAAAGTCAACTCCCCGTGTGTCTCCTCATCAGCAAGCATCACTGTATGGATAGCCATCCTCCCTCCGCTCACTTGCTCCTCATTATCTTCCCTCTCCTCCAACCCACTTTCTCCCTCCTCCACCCCTTCCTCTCTCCCCTCCAACCCTTCCTCTCTCCCCTCCAACCCTTCCTCTCTCCCCTCCACCCCACCCTCCCTCTCCTTCACCCCACTCTCTCTTTCCTCCGCCCCACCCTCTCTCCGTCCCATCGTATGCTCCTCAAACCGTCTCCTATACCCAGCCCTCCTCTTATCTGCCTCCCACGCACTCTGCCTCTCCTCCCCTCTCTTCCAAGCAGGGCTCCCCACATCACTATTGCTCCTCACAAACGCAGGCGTCAGCAGCGGCAACCATTTCTCGCCCCCTCTACCGTCCCCCCCCTTACTGTCACTCCCCTTGCTCCCTCTGCTCCCTCTGCTCCCCTTACTGTCACACCCTTTACTGTCACTTCCCCGGCTGCCAAAGCTGTCGATATGGAAAGAGTCGTCGTCGTCCTCTGTGCCGATCCGAAGGCCGAGAGCCAGGCGGAAGGGGTGCAGGGAGAGGGAGGGCGCAGAGGCATGGCTTGAAGAACCAGACGCAGCAGGTTTACCGCTCTTACCATCACCATCACCATCAGCATCAGCATCAGCGTCACTATCAGAATCAGCATGATCTGAATCATCAAAACTATCGATGGAAAGAAAATCGGCATGAGCATCGTCAACCCCTCTCCCATCGGCGGCAGCAGACGCAGCACCAGCAGCAGCAGCAGCGGCGGCGGCGGCGGCGGCGGTGGTGGCTGTACCAGCGGCAGCGATGGTTGTTTTGGAGATTGCGAGAGGGTGGATGAAAGGGGAGTACATGGGAGGGGTGGGCTGGATGCTAGCAGGCAGAGAGCGGCCTCGAGTGGGGGGCCGGCATTGAGACCGCAGCGCAGCACCTGCTATGTTCCTTGGATAGTGCTGCTGCCCGCGGTGGTGGTAGTTGTGGTTACCACTAGAAGCACGCGCACCGGAACTACCATCCCCATAACTATCATCAGCACCAGATTCATAGTCCTCCGTATTGGCAGTACGGAGGGTGGTGGTGCTGGTGGGATGGATGGTGGGGGATTTGAGCAGCTGAGGCATGTCGTAGAGTGCTTGCTTCTCCTCCTCCTCCTCCTCCTCCTCCTCCTCCTCCTCCTCCTCCTCCTCCTCCTCCTCCTCCTCCTCCTCCTCCTCCTCCTCCTCCTCCTCCTCCTCCTCCTCCTCCTCCTCCTCCTCCTCCTCCTCCTCCTCCTCATCTTTCCATGCGTACACCCCTTGCTGCCTGCTCTCTGCTCCTTGCTGCCTCCCTCCTTGCCACCCCTCCGTCTTATCTTCTTCTTTTCCTGCTTCTGCTTCTTCCCCCTCCTCCCCTCTGCTGTCCGCCAGACGTTCTGTGTCCATTGCCCCTCTGCCTTTATATCGAGCCCGGAACACCCCTCTCTCATCTGCCACTTCCTGAAATGTCCTGCTAAAACCCCACAGCCGCTCCTCTTCAATCCTCCCCCGCTCTCCCAATCCCTTACCATATCCTCGCATCTCCCCTTCAAGCTTCATCACCTCACCTTTCCCTTGTCCTTGCCTCGCCTCCCCTCGCTCCCTCTCCTGCTCCCTCTCCTGCTCCCTCTCCTGCTCCCTCTCCTGCTCCTGCTCCTGCTCCAGTTCCAGTTCCCTCTCTCGCTCTCGCTCCCACTCCTGCGCCCTCTGCTGCACTCTCTCTGCGTGATACACCTCCCACGTGTGCTGTTGAAGCATCTGTCCTTCCCACTCCCTCACCTCTCCTTCCCCTTGTCCTTCCCCTGCCTCCTCTCCTTCTAGCTCCTGCTCCAGCTCCCGCTTCCACTCCCTCTCCCGCTCTTGCTCCCGCTCTTGCTCCCGCTCTTGCTCCCGCTCCCGCTCCCGCTCCCGCTCCCTCTCCCGCTCCTGCTCCCTTTCCTGCGCCTGCGCCTGCGCTTGCTCCCGCTGCTGCGCCCTCTGTGCGTGATACAGCTCCCACTTGTGCTGTCTCAGCATCTGCCAATGCATCTCTGCAGCAACCATCTGACTCTCCCCTGTCCCTAACCACCCCATTCCCCCCACACCATCCCTACCACCACCACCAGCACCACCACCAGCACCAGCACCACCACCACCACCACCACCACCTCCTCCTCCGCCGTCCCCGCCTCTGCCATCCGCACTGCTTTCCCCAAGCCCCATCGTCTCCCTCCCAAAGCTGCTGATACCTGCTCCTGGTGCTGCATCAGCATCAACAGTAGCATCAACAGTAGCTTCAGCACCAGCAGCATCAGCAGCAGCAGCGGCAGGATCATTATCGTCAGCAGCAGCAGCACCACCACTGACACCCCTGTCACCAGCAGACGCACTTCGAGCAGCACCAATGCCGCTGCTGCCGCCACCGTTGCTGCTGCTGCTGCTTGCATGGCTGCTGCTGCGCCATGCCAAGCCCACGCCCACGCCCACGCCCACGCCCACAACCCCCGCTCCTGCCAAGGAGGGTCGCGAGCTCTCAGCATAGCCACTACTGCAGTCTGGCCTGCTGCTAGGGCTCGTGTCGCTGCAAGCACGCCTAGCGCGATACCTCGGGCTATGCTCGTCACTACGTTGCACAGTTTGCGTCTCGCGTTGCGCTTCTTGCTCCCCGCGCTGGCTACCCTGCCGTGTGCTGAGCTGCTGCCGTAGGTAGTATTCACTTCCGCTTCCTCCGCCACCTCCTCCGCCACCTCCTCCGCCACCTCCTCCGCCGGCGTTCCCCTCTTCACTAGAAGGCGCGAGAGAGGCCTTCTCCGCCGTTTCCTCCCCCTCCTCCCTCTGCGCCTCCCTCCCCGCCACCGCGTTCCGTCCTCTCCGCTCTCTGTATTCACCTCCCCCCCACACGGGTTGCGCCATGTATTCGCGGGATATGGCGCGCGCGGACGGGCTTGCGGTAGCGCGCGCGGAGAAAGACGTAGAGCGCGGGGAACGGGCGGAAGAGTGCGGGGAGATGGCGGACGAGTGGGGGGGAACAGCGGTTGAGCGGGAAGAGACGGCGGAAAGGAGAGAGAATGAGCGGTTGATGTTGGTTGGGGAATCGCGGGTATCATATATAGAAGATTGTCGGTAACCGGGATGATCCTCAGAGGTGTGCGCTTCGGAAGCGCCGATAATGGCGGGTGGTACGGAGTAAGGTGACATGCCCCAGTTTCCTTGTGAAGCAGCCATCGTGGCCGTCGCCGCCGCCGGCGCCGCTGCTGCCGCAGAAGCCGCATTAGCCGAGGAGGATTCGGGGATGGCGGCGGAGAAAAAGTGTTCCCGCCGCGCATAAATTGCCGCTGCGATCGAAGCCGCTGACGTGGCAGGAACGACGGCGAGGCGGTCATCACCATAACCGCCATCGCCGCCGAGGATGCTGCTGTCGTCATCTTGCGAGTAGCTGACATCAAGCAACTCGCCTTCCTCCCATGGCTCTTCGTCCTCCTCCCCGTCCCCCACCACCCACGGGCAAGACTCGCGGCCGCCCAGCAACGGGAATCGGCGCGCTGTGATGGTTACGCCGAGGCGCTCCATGAGAAGCTTCCTACAACGAGAGGTTGACGAAGCGAGGAGGAGAGAAGCGAGCGAAACTGGGTCGATTCGACATGCTGATTAGAGCGATTTTAATTCTTGATTCAATCCTGAATGAGCGAGCCGTTCGTTCCAATTTCTATTCTCCGTCGTTAGAGACGTGACGAACTTTTGAGAAGAGAACGCGGTTCGCGGACAACGGGCCAGCGGTTTTTCTCGCACATCTCGTTTCTATGGCGCTTCGAAACACGATGACGATGGCGAACTAGCCTTGCCCGAAGTAACACTGCAGGTTTGTTCCGAGTCGGCTCTAAAGCACTACTGGACGACGGCTGCTGCTATGTCGCGAATTCGCGGATGGCGGCAGCAATATTTCCAAGGACAGACGAATAAGCGAACTATCGAGCGAGTAAACGGACGAGCAAATGGATCAATGAAAGAATGGAATGGAGCAGCACGAGGGCCACGCTATGATATCATTAGGTGCACCGCTACTGCTAGCCATAGTAGTTTGTGAATCCAGAGCGCATAAAAAAGATTACAGCTTAGTGTGCGTTGCGAAAAGTCAAGCTTTGCACTTCGAAAGAATGGGATGGGATCATTTGAATGTGGCATTTGTGGTGAAGGTGGTTGCATGGGCGGGAAAATGGGTCGGGAGGACTGGGGGAAGGCGGACGGAGGAAGGGGGGGAGGGGAAGAGGGAAAGGAGTTCTGGCTGGGTGGCCTGGGCCAGCCAGCCAGCAAGCAACACCACCGCATGCCTTGAGTGAGTGAATGACCAGAGTCGGTCCACTACACATGAAGGATGGTAGGAAAGCAGCATGTGAGTTGTGTTGTGATAATTCCACAAATCCGTGACGGAATGAGAAGCATGGCCGCGTTCCGCTCATCTCGGCTGGTTTCCGCAGTCATCTGCAGCAACCGCGTCTCGACGGCATGAACTGCAGCCTTGCGATGCGAATCTCGATTGTTGCAATCGCCCGTGCGATGCAGTGCGGTGTACAGTGAAATCGTGTTGTCGCTGACGGGGAGCTTTGGCAGCGCTGCGAGTTCAGCTGCTTGCTGGATTGCACATCAAGGGGAGGAGCGGGAACCATCCCTTTCAAGCCAACACGGTTCAGCTGCTTTCCCAACCGCCCAAATTGCACCTCCGCACGAAGTCACTTTTAGAAAACACTTCACATGCTGGTTTGTTCCACTCCTGCAAAACCTGTTGCACATACGTTCAGCATACATCGTCTTGTTAAACCTGATATACACTTTCTTTTAGTGGGTGAGTTGTGTGACGAGGAGCATGTTCACCTCACCGCCGTCGGTCCCCACCACAGCAAAAAAGAAAACGTGGCTTTGGGATAGTCAAACTGATTGTGCACCACACGATGCGTACGATGACGGCCCTTCGCGACAAACATACTTGCTGAGCAGTAAACACCACTTGCATCGCGCGCTCCGAGTTTCACCAACCCCGCCATTTCTCGATTTCAACCATTCTTCCTTTGTCGGCAGGTTTATTTGAAATGGCCGTCCGAACCCAGCAGTAGGCAGGTCAAGCAGCTTCAACGTTCGCGCGCGTTTTGCAAAACGAATTGATGTGAAAACTCTTGCAGAAAACCAGCTGGAAGCAAAATTAGCTGAAACACTCAAAACAGCAGTTGGGCAGCTGCATTCCACCACTTCGACAAACTCCAAGCAAAACCAAAAATCCCATCGGAGGAGTGCTTGAATTTCGTTGACCCTGGTCATACTTGGTGTATTCAATAGTGACATCCAATTTCTTGACTCAATACACTTTCAACAGACAGAATACACACAGAGGAGCTCCATTTAACCTCTAGACAGTGCACAGCTAAAAATCACCTGACCATTTGTTTTCGAACATTCACCTTTGCCAGGTATCAATCCAACCATATTGAGCCAAAAGCTGGCCTCAACACTCCTTTCAAAAGCTCCCACCAATCAATGCTAACATATAGGCACTCTTGAGAAACCATGGGCAGTGCAACACATGCACATACCAGAAATAGGTGCGACCGCCAACATTGAAAAAATAACCGCGCTCCGTCCATGCTTACACGTGAAACAGCTTCACCACTTGCTGAATCTCCGCACGGCACACAGGGCAGCCCCACCCCTTGCCCTTCACCTCGCCCAGGCACTCCATACACCCGGCCACATGCCCGCACGGCACACACACCGCCTCAGCCTGCGCATCCCAGCAGATCACACATTGGCCGCCCCCCGTGCCAACGTTACTCTCCGCACGCTTCAACTCCGCTTGCACGCGCGCCGGGTCGTACGACGGGTGTAGCTCCACCTTGGGCGATGCTGGTGGCGCTGCTGCCGCTCCTGCTGCTCCTGCCGCTCCTGCAGCGGTTTCTGCAACTGCCACTGCTGATGCTGGAAGTCCGTAGTCCACCAAAACCGGGGTGGTGTCAATGGACGGGTAAGCGAGAGGCGACGCGGCAAGAGTGGGCGAGAGAGGAGGAGCAGAGGGGGCCGTGTCTGCAGCAGCGCGGGGAGAGGGCATGGGGATAGGGGCAGACGAAGCAGTGGCAACCGGTAGCGGCTGGTACTGCCCTTCCTGCACCAGAACCGGCGCTGCTGATGCCGCTGCTGCTGCTGCTGCTGCTGCTGCTGATGCTGCTGCTGGAGTTGCGGGTGGTGCTGCTGAGGCAGTTTGAGGAGGGGGAGCGCGATTTGGGGCAGGAGATTCATTAGCAGGACCCCAGCCACCGAAGCTATCTGCGTTGCTGCTCGAGGAACCCCAATCCGAAGCACCAACACCAGCATCAGTACCGGCACCAGCACCAGCACCAGCACCGGTACCAGCACCGGCACCGTCGCCAACACTGCTTCCCATGGACCGATCACCGCTGCGGGAACCAGTCGACACACTCGCACCAACAGTAGCTGATGCTGCTGTTGCTGCAGCAGCAGCGGCAGCGGGAGAGAAGGGATGAGGGTGATTGGAAGTGGAGGGCCCAGAGTCCCAGCCACCATATGCTGTGGGAGGCGGGGGGGCAGCATCCCATCCACCCATGTCTGATCCAGCAGTGGCACTGGGACCGCTGCCAGCAGCTGACTGACGGCTGCTGTCTCGTTGACTCCCCTGCTGCTGCTGCTGTCCCGAGGGTGGCCGCACCTGGCGCTGTGGAAGGCGGGATGAATGGGCGAGTGGGTCGAAGGGAAGTGGGGTGGAAGGGAATGGGTTGAAGGGAAGTTGGGTGAAGCGAAGTGGGGTGATTGAAGCGAAGTGATGTGGTTGAAGCAAGTGGGTGGAAGGGGTGGAAGGAATCAAGGGAACACGAGAAGCACAGAATCATGTGCGAGGAGCAGGATGAGCAGGATGCGTGCATGCATGCCAGGAAGTAAGGAAGAGAAAAGAAAGAGGGCAGGTAGGGAGATGGATGCACACGAGTGCAAAGGGATGCACACGAGTGCAAAGGGGTGCACAGGGGTGCACAGAGGTGCACATGTGTGCACATGGGTGTGCTTACCTGAGGAATGCCTTGGCAGGCGTTGTAGAGCTTCTGCATCTGCCCCGGCTCTCGAGAGTCCTTGTCCGCTGAAAACTTGTACTTCTCAGCTGCTCTCCCCACTCACATGCGGATCATTGGGAGGGGTGGGAGGGAGAGAGGGAGGGAGGGAGGGAGGGAGGGAGGGAGGGAGGGAGGGAGGGAGGGAGGGAGGGAGGGAGGGAGGGAGGGAGGGAGGGAGGGAGGGAGGGAGGGAGGGAAGGAGGAAGGGAGGGAGGGAGGGAGGGAGGGAGGGAGGGAGGGAGGGAGGGAGGGAGGGAGGGAGGGAGGGAGGGAGGGAGGGAGGGAGGGAGGGAGGGAGGGAAGGAGGAGGGAGGGAGGGAGGGAGGGAGGGAGGGAGGGAGGGAGGGAGGGAGGGAGGGAGGGAGGGAGGGAGGGAGGGAGGGAGGGAGGGAGGGAGGGAGGGAGGGAGGGAGGGAGGGAGAGAAAACCAGTGAGGAAACAGACAACAGAGACTGGGATGAGAACCAACGCATTTCGTATTTTACCATTCGTCCACGCACCCCTATGCGCCCCAATGCACTCTCCTGCACCCCACTGCACCCATCCACATCCCCCTGCATCCCCTCACACCCCTGTGCACGCACGCACCTCTCTGCATGTCCTCTATAACGAGCACAGGGTCGTGCGTGTCCTGCTTGGTAAGGTACACACGGCAGTGGTGCAGCAACACCTCCGTTGCCGTGGGGGCCTGCAGAACAGGATTTGAAAGAGCGAGAGGGAGTGAGACCAGGGACGGAAAAAAGAAAGGATGAAGGATGCTTGGTAAGGTACACACAGCAGTGGTGTAGCAACACCTCCGTTGCCGTGGGGGCCTGCAGAAAGAATGAGGCGAGAGAGTGAGACCAGGAAGGAAAAAAGGGGTGAGTGGGGAGGAGAGGAGGGGGAGGTGGTGGATGCTTGGTGACGTGCACGTGTAACAGCCCCTCCGTTGCCATGGGGGCCTGCAGAAAAGAATGGGGCGAGAGGAAAAAAGGGGTGGGTGGGGAGGAGAGGAGGGGGAGGTGGTGGATGTTTGGTGAGGGACACGTGGCAGTAGAGTAACAGCCCCCCCGTTGCCATGGGAGCCTGCGGCACAGAATGGGGACGGAAAAAGGAAGGGGTGAAGGAGGAGGGGAACGGGAGGTTTGTGGGTGCTGGGGACCACACACATGGCAGTGGTGTTGCAAAGCGACTGTTGCCGTGGGGGCCTGCGGAACAGAATGGGGACCGAGAGTGAGCAGGAGCAGGGACGGATGGGGAAGATAGATTGAAGACTTCAGACAATGAGAAGCAGAAGTATGAGATGGTGACTGGAGGGTTGCTGGAGAGGCCCGGGGGCCCAAGAGCGCACGAGGTGCAAGCGCAGCAGGTGAAGTAGCACATTTGCTTCCGCAAGCGCAAGCACAAGACCCGAGGACCGGAAAAGGTACGGGCAAATGGAGCTGAGCAGGCCAGCATGCATTGAGACAAACGGTATTTGTGTTCCCCTGGATCAGCCATCCTGGATAGCATATGTCACCCATCCATGCTCCACATGCAATCCATCCATGGCCCATCTATGAACCATCCTTGAACTATCCATGTGACCCATCTCGGACCCATCTATAACCCATCCATGCCCCATCCATCCTACCTACCGACGGCGAAGCATAGATGTTGAGTCGCTGCCGTGCGTTGGTGCCTTGGGATCCCGGCACCACTGCCACCCACCTGCCACCATGCATGCACCACATGGGGGAGCACATGGGGGAGCACATGGGGGAGCAAATAGGTGGAGCAGCTGGACACAGAACAACCCAGAAAGGGATTGTCATGCAAGAGCAAGAGACGGGCATGAAAAGAGGGTGGATGAAGAGCAGGGAATTCGGTCGGAAGCAAACTGAGAGGGTAGGTAGGTAGCGAGCAATAACAATGAGAAAACGGCTTGCAAGAGACAAGGCACAAGTAGTAAGAGTGGCGAGGCGCTTACACTTTCTTGGAGACCCACTGAGGCACGAGCGCCTGCAAGAAGGCTGGCCCGGACAGCTGCTGCTGGCGCACAAAGCCAACGTATAGCGCCACACGGTTCTGTGCGGTGGAGGGGTGTGCAGTGAGGGGGTGTGCGGTAGAGGGTGCACGGCGGCATGTGGAGTGAGAAACACATGGGCAGATCATTCTGCAGCGTGCGTGCGCCAGCATCAGAAACTGCCATGTCCTCCTATCTTTTGAGAACTCTCAAAGGATGCTCCTCCTCCTCCCCATCACGCGCATCCACCTCCACATCCAGCCCCACCCCTAACTAACTCTTCCCTTCCCAACGCCCCATCCCCAACTCACACTTCCCGCAACCATCCCCCCCTTCCTCTTTCCCCATTCCCCTCGCCCCTCTCCGCCTGCGCGCCAGCTGAGCGCGCACCTCTATAATGCACGCCATGACGGGGTGTTAATGCTTTTCGGAAATTTGTCAAATAGAGTGCACCGTAGTACCGTACCTCTATAGTGCACTGCAAGGTAGGGTGGAGCGGGGTAGTGCTGCTCCCGACAAACCTCAAGATTGAAACGCACTGTGATAACGTGCGCCCGCAGCCCACCATCCATCCATCCATCCATCCATCCATCCATCCATCCATCCATCCATCCATCCATGGTGGGGCAGGGCAATGCTGCTTTTGGGAGCTTTTGGGAACTTTTGGGAGCTCTCTAAACCATAGTGCAAGCAAGCAACGCAGAGGTTTTTTAGTCGACTCGAATCGAAGCAAGCACCGCACCGCACCGCACCGCACCAACCTCTATGATGCGCGCCATAGTGGGGCGGTGCTGCTCCCACGCTATGTCCAGCGCACGCCTGCCTATGTCGTTGGCGCGCAGAGGATCCGCTGAGCGGCGCAACGGGGCACGCGGAAATGGGGGGAGGCACGGGAGGAGTTTTGAGACATCTCAAAAGCCGCTATTATGTCCAGCGCACGCCTGCCTATGTCGTTGCGGCGCAGAGGATCCGCTGAGTGGCGCAGTGGGACACGCGGAGTCAGGGGGAGGGGGGGAGAGGAGAGGAGAAGAGAAGCGAGAAGACGGGGAGGAAGGGAGGGGAGGGGAGGGGAGGGGAGGGGAGGGGAGGGGAGGGGAGGGGAGGGGAAGGGGAGGGGAAGGGAGGGGAGAAGATAGGAAAGGAGCACAGGGCCAAGGAAAAGGGGGAGACGGAAGTGGGAAGGTGTGAGAGAGGAGGAAGGAAGAAAGGGATTAGTGAAGGAAGGAGGGAGAAGGCGCGTGCAAAGGGAGGAGAAGGCGCGTGCAAAGGGAGGAGAACGTCGCAGAGAAGGGGAGGGTGAGGGGCAGGGGGCAGCAAAGGAGGATGGATTGTCCCAGAAAGAGCCGGAAACGTTTTGAGACGTCTCAAAACACTACTTTTATCAAGGGAGTGAGGGGGGCAGCAAAGGAGGATGGATCGTCCCAGAAAGAGCCGGAAACGTTTTGAGACGTCTCAAAACACTACTTTTATCAAGGGAGTGAGGGGGGCAGCAAAGGAGGATGGATCGTCCCAGAAAGAGCCGGAAACGTAACGTGGGATCATCCCCACCCCACCTTTCCCTCCTTCCCCCCCGTCTTCCCTCTTTTCCCCCCCCTCCTCCCCTGTCCGTCCGCCTTCCCCACCCACCTCCATAGTCCAGCAGAAGCTGCACTGTTCCTCACCAACTGGTGGACGGCACGTCTCAAAAAAAGAAAAAAAAACTTCCTTCTCCCTCCACCCCCGGCCCATCCTCCCCCCCCCCCCCCTTCCCCCCCACCCAACCACCTCCATAGTCCAGCAGAAGCTGCACTGTCTGATCCAGGCCCTTCCTCGCCGCCTGGTGGATGGCTGTTCCGCCCTGCGCCCCTGCTTGGGGGAAAGGGAGGGGGGAAGAAGGGCGCGGGAGGTGCAGAGGAAGGGAGCGACGCGGAGGGGACGGGAGCGGGGGGGAGGAGAGGGGAAGGGGAGTGGGAGGGACATACGATATCAGCAAAGGTAAGAGGCAGGCAGGCAGGAATGCAGAAGAGAGGGCAACGACGAGGGAAACGTGTTGCAGGCGGGCAAAGAGGGGTGGGGAAGAAGGGAGGGGAGGGGAGGGAGCTGAGGGGAAAGGGGGGAAGAGGGGGGAGTAGGAATTAGAGCAGAGGGGAAGCAGATGAGTTAGTGATAATAGAAGCGCTCAGGGTCGATTAAAGACATCAGCGACGCTCGTGATATGGCGTATCCTGCGTGGTGCACGACATAGCATTTGCCCGCGAGTGACGACACAGAAGCGCCATTGACGCCGTTCAAAGCGCGCGCTACTTCCGATCCGCCATAAACGTTGATGACAAAAAAAGCGGTGGGCGATCAGAGGCGTTAGGCGGAGGAGGACGCGTCAGGAATCAGTAGCGGAGCGGGAGATGTTGCAGGGTGTTTTCGAGTTTGAAAAATCCCAAAAACACCCAGCAACAATCGGAGGGCGTCAGGCGGAAGACGCGTCAGGAATCAATAGCGGGTGACTCGCCTCGGACGTAAGCGTTGACGTCAGCACCCAGCTGAAGCAGGAGGCGTGCGACAGGAAGCATGTCCGCGCGACTGCATGCGATGATGAGCGACGTGCGACCGTGGCTGTCTCGCCACTGCGGCAAGAAAATCGGGGGAACGGATTCGGACGATAGGGAAAAAGTAGGAGGATAGCGGAGATTAAGCGATTAACTAGGCCGACAGAGTGGAGAAGACGCACACGCAGCCGTTGATAATCCTTGATGTTTATATATATTTCACAGCGTCAATAATTCATATCTCCGCCAAAGAAGGAAATATCTCTGCTGGTCACTGTTGGAATCATTACTCTACATTCCAAAAACTAGCGACGCTTCGTTTCCAATATCACTGAAGAACCCGCCTCCGTTGCAACCAATTTTTCCGTCAGGCTCGCTTATTGTACCTCCAGACCCACGCCTTCCTGCCGGAGACGCTTTATTCCGCTAACATCCGCTCTCTGTGTCGCTTGATACACCATCTCCTCTCGCGACACGCCCTGACCCATGGGAACGGCGACGTTGACAGCGAGCACAGTCTTTACTGATGACCGGAACACACGCAATCCCAAGATTCAAAATGGAGGCAGCGACGGGGAAACGAGGGCGATGCGGGAGTAATATCTTCGGTCCTTGAACACACGCAAGGTAAGGAATGAAATAGGTGCATTTGTTTTTGAGCACTTCTGAAAGAGCACTTCTGTTGATGTGTGCAGCACTCGACACACAGCTTGTATTTCTGCGCTGTACTTTATTGGTCCAGCACGGTCCGGTGATTTTCAGAAGGCTTCAATGTGGTTCATTACTGTGAAAGCCACATCACATGAAAAGCTACATTCCAAACAGGAGAGTTGTGATTGGCTGTGTGCGTGCTGCAACGAAACGGACGGTTGCCGTGGCGTGACTGCTGAAGCCATGTCCATGCGCGCCACAAGCAATTTCCTTAAAACAAACTTGATAGTGAATTCAAAATGAAGAGTGATAGTTTCACACATTTCCTACTAGACAGCACAAGCTACACGCACACAACATAATAGCCCAGAACACATCTTCCCTAATTGAAAGCACAAGCTACACGCAAACATACAATAGCCCAAAAATACCACACAATGCCCAAACATAATGCTACAAAGCAGACAGACAAGCTTAGCCTGGCTCTCTGAAACGCACTATTCTTTCTTTCCACGCAGCGACGAAACCAACAAAAACTCAACCAAACTGGCCTTATCCGCTTCCAACACCTGCACTTGGCCTTTTAGCTCCGATATAAGTTCCAATGCCTGCCCAAGAACTGCCTCCATAGTCATCCGCGACTGCCCCTGCGGCAACACCTGCTTCAGCTGCTGCAGCCGCACACTGCAGAGTGTAGGGAAAAGGGGGTCGGATGGGTATAGGTAGCGTGGATTAGATGAACAGGAAAAGGAAACAGAAAGGCACGGGTCGAAGTGCTGAACACAAGCGGAGAATCTATAAGTATGGCAGCAGAAACAGCACTAGAGCCACTGTTTCCATACCTGATCCCATTGCGCCGCTTCCTCTCTGCCACAGTCCTCGGCTGCTTGGGGCCTCCGCGGCCAACCATCCCAGATCGAGGCACGGGCGGGAATCCACTCTGCTGCATGTTCATCTCCCCCCCCAGCTGCTGCTGCAACAGCTGCGATGACGGCGACGGCTGGAATGCAAGCTGCTGCTGCTCCTGATTATAAGTACCCTGAAAGTCCGCGAAAAACGGAAATTGATGATGCTGCTGCTGCTGTTGCTGCTGCTGCAACCCCCCCCTGAACACTTCTACAGGCTCCTCTAAGTCACTGTTCTCGCCTGAGCTTTCCTCCCAGGACACTTCACCGGCCTGTAAATCAGGCAGAAACGGTGCATATGGAAACAACAGAGCACACGGTTGTAAGCAATCAGAATCAGGCGACGTGGGCTTTGAAAGGCATCAGAACCAGATACACCGCTGCTAGACAAAGGATAGCGGAGCGAACCAGAGGCCAAAAAAACAAAGGGTAGAATCTGTGAAATCGCACCTTGAAATCATCTGCCACCGAGGCCACCTGCTCTGATTTCTTCCCAAGTCCTCCGGACCATTTACGAACCATCTCCAACCGGCCCAGCCCTTCTCCCATCCCTCCGTCTCTAACCAATCCTTCGCCCGCCGTTCCCCTCGCCCGCTTTGCCCGTGGCTCTTCAGGGCGATCGTGAGACCAGCCGCCCCCTATTGATTCGCCCACTTCCCACTCCCCTTGCCCCACAGCGTGCCCCATATCCGGGACAGGCGGTCTGGACGGCGCGAGGCTTGTCCGCGCACCGGCCGCGGGCAGCTCCGCGGGGAGATGCGCCGGCGGGTGCGCGGCGGGATGAGCGGGGGAGTGCACAACAAGTGCGGGGAACACGGTGTGCGCGCCAGACGGGGTCAGCGCGGCGGGGAGAGCATTCTGCGCGGGGAGGAAGGCAGCAGGCGCGGGGGAAGCGAGAGGTGTGGATGGCGGAAAGGTAGCGCCGTGCGCGGGACCGTTTGGGGGTAGTGCGGATTGCGCATGCGGGAAAAGGCCAAGAGTATGGACGTTAGATGCGGAACCGCGGAAATCTCCAGATCCCAGTCCCGCCCAAGCCTGCAGCGCCTGCTGCTGCTGCTGCTGCTGCTGCTGTTCTACCTGCTGCTGCTGGAAGTCTTGGTGAATCACATAGCCCTGCTGCTGATGGGTACCGTGAACATCGTATACAGGTTGCGGTGCTGCTGGCACCGAAAAGAAATCTGCGGCTTCAACGCCAGTCCGTGTCCCGGACCCAGTCCCAACGTCCACGCCCGTTGTTACTAGCCCCGGGGGCGCAGCCGTTGGTTCTGCTGCGAAAGCGGCGGAGGCGGGGACACACGGTGAGGGGTTGAAAGAAGCACTGCTTCCCCTCTGAAGCAAGTGCGCGAGAAACGAATTCTGCACCAACTGCTGCTGCTGCTGCTGCTGCTGCTGCTGCTGCTGTCGCAGCAGCAGCTGAGTCGACTGCTGGAGTTGATTCTGCGTGATACCAGGGAGCACTTCCCTTGTTCCACAACCGTCCATGGCGTTCCGGTTCCTCTCGAAAACAGCTCTCTGCAACGAAAGAGCGCCGTGATAGCCAGGCTGTTTCGCCGTGCCGGAACGCCCCTGACTTGTTCCAAGAACGTCACCCGCGTATACACCAATACCGCCGCCGCCCCCTCCCGTCGCACCCCCGTACACCGTACCCCCACCCCCATCACCCCCACAGAATCCCTCGCCTCTTCCGTCCCTACCAAAGAATCCCTCAGGGTTGTCACCAGCAAGTCTAAAACCAGCCGCTGCTGCTGATGCCTGATCGCTGCGTCCGTGCCCCGCCGCTACTAGATCCGCTGCCGCCGCCGCCGCCGCTGCCGCTGTTGCTGCAGCCCAGACTTCGAGCGGATTAAGAGCGGGCAAAACGGGGCGATCAGACGGAAGGGATGGAAGGGAAGGAAGGCCGGCGCGGAGAGAGTTAAGGAGGCACGCAGCGAGGGGCGCATGGGCGGAGGACATGTGAAGGGGGTTGGGTTGGGAAGGGATCTGCAGCGGGCTTTGACGCGGAATTTGCGGCTGGTTTTGAGGAGAAGTGAAGCGGAAGGGTGCGGGGGGATGTGCGTGGGGCGACGGCCCGTCGGCGTGAGCCGGCGACGCAGCGGCAGTTGCGGGGAGTGTCGCGGAAACGGTACCTGCTTGTCTGTCCTCCTTACGCGTGAGATGCTCTAGGGCGAAGGTGTGGGGAGACGCTGGGAGGGATTGCTGGACGGACGTGACAGTAGCGGCAGTGCCTACAGCGGGGGCACATGAGTCAAACGCGGGAACGGAGGCACGAAAACCTTCGAGATTGTCAAGGGGAAGCGGTGACGCGTATTGGGGGAAGTGCGCGGTGGGATCCGTCGGGGCTGGGGGTCCAGTGTGGGGGAACGCAAAGGCGGAAGGCTTATGCGAAAACGGCGGGAGAAGTGACGGCGCGGGGTGCGGAGAGAGTGCGAGCGTGGCGGAAGGATGCGCGCACTGGTCCCATCTCGCTAGCGGTGCAGGGGAGGAGGAGACGAACTGAAGGAAAGGCTGCGCGTACGGTTGCTGCGGAGCGGCCATGTGTACAGGCGAATCTGAAATAAGATGAGGATGGAAAGCAAGAGAAATTCGACAAAAGAGCAAAGGGCTAGGAATCGCGAGGGAAAAGACGGAACGATGAATCTATCTAGCCTCTGTTGGTGTCTTGAGAGTTAACCTCCCAAGGTTTCCGCGACGGTGCTTAAACGCAAATTAACTATACAGACGCTACTTCCGATAGCTCAAACGCTGTCCTAACATAGTACGAAACCTTGGACATAGGATCATTCAGGATGGGCTGGAAGGGCAGTGAGGAAGGTGGAGGAGCAGCAGCGGTGTTCGGCGCTCCATAAAAGGGAATGTCCATGGCATGGGAGGGAAGCGAAAGTTGCGAGGCTAGCAGTGTCGTTGCAAAGCCGAATCTCCCCTTTCCTCCATTGGTGGCATTGATGCCATTTGGGAAGGAAAACCGCAAGGTCCATTAGGAAAGGGAGAAGGGAAAGAAAATGGAGGACGCAGCCGAGTGGGGACGGTAGGAAGGCAGATCCTCTGTGTCACCATGACTGCAAGAGATGTAGAATGGGAGGGAGGGAATCATGCGATATGAGATGGGAGGGATGGGATGGGATGGGCATGGTGGAATGATGTATGCATGTGTATGGTGGTGGATGCTCGCACATGATGGTCATATCGCATTGCTGTTGTGATTGTGAACTGTCGTTGGTCTCATGACTGAGCAATTGCGGTTTCCAACACGGCTTCCAAGTCATGCGTCCTTCAGACGGGCAAAAAAATGTGGAAACTCCGCCAACATAGACTGCATTGCCACCACCCTCCCAAAACAGTTCTCTGCTGCAGGTTCTTCACAGTACAGTACACCACGCGGGACACCACTCACGACGGGGAATTTGAAAGTATCCAAATGCTGGATACCAAATCTCGAGAAACCCACAGACCTAATAAAACTCTGAAATGTTTAGGGGGAAACGTTCCGGTCTTGGAAAGCTTGATTAACGACATGTTGCGACCCAAAAAGGTCGGGTCGACCACCCCCGACCCTTCACTTCTAGGAAGGCTGTTTTGCGGAAAAAGCCGACCAGTTCGACCCAACCTAAATAAGTCGGGTCTGCCCGACCGGGTTGACCAGGCTGGTCGACCAAGTCGACCCGACCCATCCCAACCGGTTTGCGACGAGTTACTAGAGCTAACGAATCGCAAATCCAGCGAGGCGAGGTTTCTGCGTAACCACTGGTCTAGTGAGTTGTCATTTCCGTCACAGCTCGCCTAACCTGAACGGAAGCTGGATGCCAATTGCGTTGTAGGTTCTTCGAGGGTGTACCAAAAATTTTCAGAAATTTTGTGTGTTTCCAAGCCGCGATGGTCAGGTCGACCAGGTCGACCAGACCCAACCCAATCTTGCTGGGTCGCAACACGTCGTTAGGGTCCTTCGGAGCAGAGCTGGAAAAATTGGTGCATATTACAGTTACGTATGCTTTCAATAGTGTACTGTCCTTACAAAAAAAAAAGCAGTGAAGCTGGTGCAGCAGTCGGATCTACTTCCTCACTGTATGGATCGTTGACAATGGGCCAGTCCTAGAACCTCTCCTGAGGGTTTGCTTGCAATGTATTCCGACTGTTGTTTGCAATGTATGCGTTCTTGCAAAAATTTATTACGTGTTCTCTTGCAAAGAACCCACATGAAGTGGCTGTGTATTCCGACTGAAAGGGTTCGCTTGCAATGTATGCCAGTGATGACGCCGTCGGACGAAAGGCCAATGGAATGGACATTGAATGGGTGCTCTTGCATTCATTCCGTTACCAGATACATATGGTACCAGATGAGGCAGAAGGTGATGATGCAATCCAGTCCAGCGTCACAGAACAGAACACCAACCCAGGGCCGATTCAAGTGGGCCGCACTCTCTCTCCAGTAGGGTTGATTCGTTCACAAAGGAAATGCCGATGCATTGCTGTTTTGAAGTTTGCATGGTGGACTTTTCCAACGCCGCATCGTCTCCACCCATGCGTTTACTGTATGGGTCCGTCCCACATGAAGTGGCTGTGTGCCCAAGAGAGGACGAATGCGTTCTTGCAAATTTTTATTCATCGCAACATTTTCGAATTGAGCGCCTCTTCAGTTGAAACCTTTCAGTCCCATCCCATCCGGTTTCCCGCGGTGTAAACAGAGGGGTTGGGTTGGGTATATATGGTCACGTACCTGTTCTGACAGGCGACCTCCGGCATTGGTTGTCATAACCACCACCACATGAAGTGGCATTGCCTGTGTGTCCAGACCACATCAATGGTTCCTCCCCTCAATCCCGTTGTGTACAGTGGCAGGCACATCAGCCAGATATTCGGTTAGCCAACACACCTTGACAGTTGGCGAGGCTCTGTACTGAAGTCTTTCTTCTTGTCCGGAAACGGGCAGGTGACCCATAACAATGAAGCTTCAGTTGCAAAGCGATGTGGACCACCGTGCTTGCGCCAAAATATGAAAGCTGACCAATGGTATGCACTTGCGCTAAATCCAGGAAACTTCCAGATGTTTCCCAACAACGTCACATGAGTTTCTAGACGCAGCTGGACAAAACTGGTATTACACGTATCACTCGTTTGTGAAAATAATATCACATTGCAAGCTGCAAGCCACCAAAAAACAAATCCGTGCTCTTTAGTCGAGCAGGGTACTCTTACTCAAAATACATTATTGGCTCGCACTTTCATATCTTAAGCCGTGATTTGTAGAGATGCATGACCAGAATTAGAGATTTAGTATCATAGATAAAGCTGGTATTTCTTTCGTTATGTTTAAAATTTTATGCCTGTAATAATTGCTTTGTCAACGTGAGTTCGCCCCCTCCACGTGTATCCGTCAACCTTAATAAGATGTAACAAACTGTACGGATCGGGTCTTTATGATCCATCCTTTGGGTAATTGACCCGGGGGGGGGGTCAATTATATTCCGAAAGAGAAATGGGGTGGTGATATTAATTGGGCGTAAATTTGATATGTCTAGCATCTAATGTTGTGCGCATTTGTTTATTCTGAATCATATTAAATGCTGGTACTACCGCACTAGATGCTAACATTTCATTGTCGCATTAATAATATATTGATCATGCGCCGAATGTATAGGATGCTGCTGAAAGGAGGCAACTTAGATCGAATGCATCATACCAGTACTACAACAAGGCGGCCTACTAGCATTACAGCCGCAGTTGACCAAGTGCGCACAATATGCGCACCTACCAAAATGTGTGCAGGTAGACGATTGCAACGTCACTCACATTATAAAGGTGCTAGGTCCAACACGTTGCCAAAACCACATGTCGCGAAGTTCGCACCACTCCTGAAGAACTTCGTCGGCCATATTATTTGCTCCAAAAAAAAAAAAAAACAAAAAAAAAGTCGTCGCCCAGATGTCGGCGTCGGCAAGTCTGAACAAGATAGTCAACAGCCAAGGCTGTGCGCCATCCGTCGATCTCTCTTCGTCTGTTGGCTTAACCGAAGTCGGCTAACCATCAAATTCGGCTAACAACCAAAGTCCGAAGTCGGCTCCACTGAGGACTACAAAGCCTATCCGATTGCACATTTTGCATGCCGGACAGCAAACCGGCTTCGCCCAAGCGAGGGCGGGGCCTTTTCTTGTCACAGGCTGCATACGGGATTAAGGCGTCATGAACTACTACACGGCCAGGAAGTTCAAATGGTAGTCCTTACCAACCTGAACATGATGCGGCAACTGAACGGCGGTTCATGCAGCAGGCGTCAATCAGTGGGCCATAACAGATCGAGAAAAATATGTTTGTGCCACCTACGCAGCCCCATTAGGGCGAAATGGCCAATGCCGCTGGAGGTAAGCCCGCTGAATGTACTTGCCAAGGTGTTTGCACCTGGCCTGCAGCACGGCAGCATTGGGCCTTGATAGCATGAGACACGCGTATCTAGCCATGCCCGAACGCCGCCACCACTCGGTGCTATGGGTGGCCCATACAAATGTCTTGCGGTTGCCGTTTCATATTCTTGGCCTGCCCATACATATGAGTATGTTATGCAAAATCATTGTGCATGCTGTCCCTGCACAAGCTCTCCACGGGTGGCATTCGTGGCGTCGCTCGAAAAGACGCTAATGGTTCTTCAAAGCACCTCTCCATGAGTCGTTTTTTGGATGCATGCAGAGGGGTGAGACAGTAGTCGTGCAAAGGGTAGGCGGCATCCCCGACCTATTGGTAGGGTGTGATTTTTCCTCGTTCCAGCCGTACGAACGGTCCATGCTCGAAAAAATATTGGTCGTGGTGACGACCCGGCGGCCGACAACGTAATCCAAAATGGTGCCCGCGCATCACATGTAACATGCAGTTGCTCAAAATAGTGTGGTTTCCTATTCTAATCGTCCTTGCAGTGCCCTTTCATACCAAGGACCTTGATGTGTGTGTTAATAGGCCCGATGACATTTGAACACCTTGACAGCCTTGAAATCCGCTGTTATGTCCGCACGCTCCTTAGGTAGTTGGAGCTGCACCCATTCACGCCTGAATAGACGCGGGAGGTGCAGCAAAATACCTGCCTCAAGGAGACGGTGTAATAATGTTATAGGTCTGCCGAATAACATAGACAATGCGGAGATTAAGTCTACAACGGGGGGAGCTAGATTACGGGGTAGGCACTGGTTGTAAGAGTGATCGTAACTCTGTCTGTGCTCTCTAGGACTTGTATGTTCACAGGGCAAAACCACAAGAGTTTCACTAGGAAAGTTGAGAATACATAATGAAATAGCAATGACAAAGATTGACTACATCAAATGCAAGGTTTGCTAGCACTCAGGCAGGTCGACCGCCAGTGCGACAAACTTGTCGACCTGCCAACGTAGCAACTCAGCAGCCCACCGACACAGCTTGTGTGCGACTTGCCAACGCTGCAGAATGGTGCCCTGCCAACGCTGCACCCGTGCGGCTTGCCAACGCTGCATCCGCACGGCTTGCCAACACTGCATCTGAAGGTGATTGTAAACGCATGTGCAAGCACCTACTTTACAGGT